AGCCCAGGAGGCAGGAACTTTTGTCCCTTATTTGCTGATGCAGCCTTAGTGCCTAGTGGAGCCTGACGACAGCTCTCTGGGTCATCTGCACCTGACAAAGTCTGTCTTTCATTGGGGCATAACTTCTTTTAAAGGTTTTTTATTCTCACCTGAGCATATGTTCATTGATTTTTAGAGAGAGGGGAAAAGGAGAGGCAGAGAGAGAGAAACATCAATGTGAAAGTAACATTGATTGGTTGCCTCCTGTATGCACCCCACCTAGGGACTGAATCTAGGTATATGCCCTGAGTGGGAATTGAACCCAGGATCTACAGTACACAAGATGACACCAACCTGGAATCTGCACATGTCAATCTCCAGATACCAAGCATGGCTCAGGGACTGCCATGTGACCCAAGCCAGGCCAATGAGAGAATTCTGGGACTTTGGTTGGAATGCTCAGAAAAAGTTCCTTCTTTGTCCTGGGACTGCGAGCAGTTAGCAGACACTGAGGCCACCTGGTAGAGTTGGAGAATGAAGTCGACTCCAGGAAAAGTACTAGAAAAAGCATGGTCCTGAAGAAATATTTGACTGTCTAAATCCAGCTGTACGTGAAGCCAGAAACTCCCTCTGGATTGTTCAAACTAGACCAGTGGTTGGCAAACTGTGGCTCGCAAGCCACATGCGGCTCTTTGGCCCCTTGAGTGTGGCTCTTCCACAAAATACCACGTGCGGGCACGCACGTACAGTGCGATTGAAACTTCGCAGCCCATGGGCAGAAGTCAGTAGCCTCAGTTTGCCGACCACTGAACTAGACAATAAATACACCCTATTGCCAAGACCAGTCTGAGCCCGGTTTTCGATCACCTGTCCAGGCTAATACGTTCAGTTCCCTGGTCTCCTGTGCAGAGCTACATGGATCTGGCTGAGATTTGTTTTCTGCCACATTCTCTCAATGGGTTATAAACAGCCCCAATCCTTCCAAGTGGTGTCTCTTCTCTGACTGCCTGTGCTCAGCTCTCAGGCCACTCTGCTTGCTAGTTCTGGTGGGCACTGCACTGCCCCTCATCTTGCACAGACTGAACGACTGCATGGTTTAGGCAAACTGCTAACAGCATGATGCTCTGCCACTAACCACTGCCTGCAGCACAGAGGCCCCTGTTTCTCCGAGGGGGTTTGGGTCATCCTTAGTCCAGGCCACTCTGCCTGAGGGGATGGCCTGTGGGACAAGGAACACCACAAGGACACAGGAAACCTCATAAGAGCTGCAGCATCTCTGGGGGAGGATATGGCCGGAACTAAGGATTCTCTGGGACACACTGGGGAGATCTAGGAAGCTGAAGTGAAGAACTTAGACCTGAGACCTGGTCGTGGGGCACAGGGGAGAAGATGCTCAGGTTTCCAGCTCAGGCAACAAGCTACGTGGTGCTGCCACTTCCCCAGGTAGAAGCACCCTGAGGGTAAGGAAGGGCTGGAAGAGATGCTAGTGCAATTCTGATGGAGGGCCACTCCAGATGCCTCAGATGGTGGTGGATGGAGCTGGGGTAGATGGCCCATGGGCTGCTCCTCTCACTGTATGTGCCTCTTAAAAGGTTAGGAAACACACAGTCTAAGAGTCTTTCAAAAATAGCACCTGGTTAATGAGCAAGGGTGGGAGGAGGTCCCTGTGCTGGGCTGCGTATCTGGCGCTTTGGCCAGGCGGGGCACGCTGTGCTCTCTGTTCCTAGAACACATAGATAGGAATGTGCTGGCGCTTCGGCCAGGCGGGGCACACTGTGCTCTCTGTTCCTAGGGCACATAGATAGGAAGGTGGTCACTGTACTGATGCTGTACTGTGTCGGGAACAAATTGTGTAAACAAGGCTTTGTAAATAACTTTGTGGTTTTTGCAAATAAAAACGCTGTAACTCCTGTAGTTGGCACTGCAGTTCAGCCTTTGCTTCGGCAGGGTGTTGTAACTGTAGTCGCTGGCGAGCTTAATAAAGGCTCCTAAATCTTGATCGGAGTCCCTGGTGGTTGTCTCCGCGGGTCGCCCCATTACAGTCTCCTTCGTGATTTGCCTCTACTTAAACCGTGGCAGAACCTAATTTGAAGCAACTCCACTATCAAACGTTTGGCAAAAACAAACCAAAAAAAACATATTTCCTAGATCTAAGATGAATATGACTAGTACTCACCAAAGGTATCAAGTATGTCCGTGATGAGGACAAACTTGCTTGGGTAGAACTGAATGACACTTATATCCGAGAGAAGCTTTGAGCACTAGAAAAAGAGAAGAGAGAAAATTCACTGTCATGTCTGATGGGGTTGAACACTCGGCCTGGAAAGTTAACGATTTCTACAAACAAGCACAGGTGCTCACCTGTGCCCAGACCTCACCAGACGCTGGG